ATTGCAACGTGTTAATCAAATTTCAGTGAATTTAAAGCAAAATTTTCAGAAAGCCGGACTATTTTCTTCTTAAAAATTCTAATGAAAATTTTAAAATTTTCAAATTTTTGATTAGAGAAGGAATAATGACATGAAAAGATGGAAAATGTATGGAATTATCAATAAAACAAATTTTTTTTCACTTTTAGAAATTTGCTGCTCATTTTAGAAAAAAAGAAAGAAAAAGGCAGAACAAAAAAATTGAAATGGAAAAAAAAATGGTTTGAATTTGTTACATATTTTGCTTTTATATGACGAAAAAAATGGATCAAAAAAAGGAACTGACAAAACAGAGTTAAAGAAAAAATGGTCAACATGGGATTAATTTAGTTCTCATTTGATGGATCGATTTTCTAAATCAATCATAAATGAGAGAAATGATAAGCATAAATGACAATTTACACCAGAAATTAAGGCGCAATCGTCAAGGAAATGTTTATTTCAAAGTAGAAAGAGAGGGAAAGGAAGGGAACAAAAAACAAGGTGATGAAGAATATTTAATATTTCTTAGGTCGTTAACTCATTCGAGCATTACAAATCTGTTTTGTTTTGAATTTTTTAAATTTATTTAATTAATTGAAACAAATTAGAAGTTTGTGCCGTTTCATATGAACAGAGTAAGGAATTGGGTGGTGTAGCAAAAAACAAATAAAAGAAGGAAAAGGAAAACTGGAAAACTAAATTTATGTTTCAAAACTTAAATTTACAATAATGAGCGGAGCAAAATTTTGTATGTAATTTATTACAAACAGTTAACAAGTTAATTAGTAAATATACAATCTTAACATGTATTTTCGATTTTAAAATTCGAATTTCATTTTTTTTCTGAAATATAATTTATTCAAATTCCTATGATACTATGATTGTCTGATAATTTTAAATTAATTAACTTTTCCACAGTAATAAAGCACTCTGCAAGCTATCTGTCATGCAAATAATTATTGTATTGCAAATGTGAAATGAACATTTGCCATTCTTAATAAAAGTTTTAAATCGCAATGAAATTTAAATGTTAACATTAACAAAGAATAGTTTTATAGTAGTAAAGAAAATTTTGGCGGATCGGAATTTATTATTTTTCCTATGAAGAGATCCCTTTGATGAATTTTTCGTTGACCAATTCAACTTAAAGAAATGAAATTATGACGAATGTAAATTTTGAAAGATGCATAAACCATAAAAAAGAATAGTGTTGCTTTTGAAAAAAAGAAGTGGAAGTAGTGCTAAACTTGACTTTAAGCTAATTAATTCTCGTTTAAAATATGTTTAATTGGAGAAAATATAATTAGTATGAACATAAACAACAAATGAACATAAAAAGCAATCATCATTCATGCCTAGACTTAGAGGAGAAAGATTTGCGAAGGGCTCTACCTACTTGCTATAAGGACTACAAATATAGATCTATCCTTCTTTCAGCCTATGCAATGGGTCATATACGTACGCGAAATTGGGCCTATCCTTTACTTTTAAGATTCATCTGTCCGGGTCTGACTATTTAGGACGCTGACATTCACTGTCTCAGGACGTAGGTTTTGTTAAAGTATTCTTCTCTGAGAGAGATACCGTTACAGTGTTAAACAAGCTCCATCTGTCCTCTTAGGATGATTGCCGGGAGACTAGCAAGCCCATCCTGTTGGTGAACAGACTTTATCTGACCTATCAGTTGACAACTATTTGGCATGGGTGACCTTACTGCTGTCATAAGCACTGCCAACATAACTCGCAATCTCATTAAGGCACGTAAGCCTTACGCAAAAAAAGAAATCTGTAATTTAAATCCAAAATAAGGATAAACAATATTTTAACTTTATCAAATTTTCATATAATTTCATTCTATTTCTTCCAATAAGAAATATTAAAATTATTTTCACATTTGTCAGTTTGATGAAGGAATGTATAAAAGATTAATTAGCAATTAAGCATGATGAAATTAAGCAGTAATTCGGTAATTATGCATGATCCATGCTTACACTTCAGTAATCATTTATATTCGTCTTTCATTTCCGTTGTTTCATAATTCTATCCAATATTTTAAGTTCAATATAACATTTTTTTTTCTCCTAAAATTAAGGAAATACAGAAATTACTCATTACTCATCACAATTATAATCATTTTTTATTCTTTTTTCAAGACCTTTTTTCATTTTACTTACGAAAAGATATTAGTTAATAAGTACTTCAATTTTCCCACTCCTTTTTGTGCTTTTTCATAAGTGAGAGATGTACTTAATAAATGTTTTTATAACGAAGTAATATTAATATTGATATGTACTATCAAAGATATTCGTCATTTGTAGAGCATTTATTAATTAACTAAAATGCATATTATCAGTTTTAATTGAATCCTCGATAATGATAAAAAATTTTCTCAATTTTTTTTACTTTTCTGAGGGAAAAGATTTAAGGGAAAATTGTTTGGAACAAATCTTTTTTTTCGAGACATTATAAATCGAATACTTAAATGTAAAAGTCTGAATCGATTAATTTCTTTTTTTTTCTTAAATTCATGCAACAATAAATGGACAGAATTTGAACGAAAAAATTGAAACATTTTTATTTAAAAAGTCATTTTATTTGAAATTTTTATTTTTCATTTTAATATTTAAAAAGTCGGATTTTTTTAATAATGTAAAGTGTATTTTACGTGCAATTAATCAGTAATTAAATTTTCGACTTCTTTTTTATATATTTTTTAAGTATAAATATTGTGATGATTCCATAATTGAATTGTAACTCGCAGCTATTTCTGATCATGAATTTTGGGTATTAATAACTTATTCGTTTATGTTAATTATGCTTATCAACTGATAAGCAGCAATACAATACAAAATTGAACAAATATATGTATGATAATAGCAGTGACATCACAGCCTAACCGTTGTATAATTCGCGCAATATTTTTGCATCATAAACCTATCATAAAGATGTAGTTTAGGGCATTGAAATGTTAGTTTAACAGATATCAGTGATTTCTAGACTGTCCATATATCATTTGTAAAATTTGAAAATAAAAAAAAATTAAAAAACAACATTATCAATTTGGTTTTAATTAACATCATCAATTTGGTTTTCTTTGATTATCAATCATCGATGTCATCTTTTCGGTTGTTTGCTTTAAATGGATGACAACAAACAAACTTGCTAATAAATACAATCTTTTATTTTTAGCCGAATCATGGAAAATAAAGTCTAGTTGCTGGTAAATGTCCAGTTGCTGGCATTGTCCATCAATTAACTAACCTAGGTTAACTGCAAAATGCGTATGTATGTTTGCATACAGATATACTTTTTCCAATCAAATTTTATAACGCAGGAATTCTAAGCACGCGGATGCACATAAGTGCGCACATGTGCACGATGTGTGTGCACAGGTGCACACACACACACACACACACACACACACACACACACACACACACACACACAGATGTGCGTATATATACATATGTGTGCGGAAATGTATCAAAAGTTGTCGATAAGAGAGGAAAGAATATTTGATATGAAAGACGGAATTGAATACTCAAAAATAATCTTTCATTTTAACATTTGTATTTCAAAAACCAATACACAAAATAACAAATCGTTCAATATTAACTCTTTTTTTTATCATTTTTTCTTTTTCTAATTTTTAATTGAAATGAAGTGAAGAAAACTTAATAATAACGTAATAACAATAGTAATGTAGTAATCAAAAAAGTCGTTTTTTATGTTTTAATAAGCGAATGTTAAACTTTAATTAGATTAAACCAAAATTTAATTTAATTCCTTGTTTGTTGATATTACAGTTTATAAGTTCAATGTTCATAAATCTATATTTGTTTGTTTCAACAAAGTTTCAATGTTAACTACACTGATACCTATAATATCACATTATGATATCATTTGAATATGCACAGGGAGTGATAGTCATCATTTGGAACATGTGATGTTCATTTACTGGTTTGAATGTTAACAAAAGATATTTCGAACTTTCACTAAAAAAATTACTCGTCTCCATTTCATGTTTAAAATTCAAACTTTTGTTGGATTTTGTAAAGTTTCTCATTTCATTTTAAGATTGAATTCCCAATAAGTTAGTGTCATTTAATTTATATAATACAATAAATGCAAGTAGTATTCATTAGATGACATATGCAACAGAAACATTTGAAAATTTCAAATAAGAAGAAATAAACATGACAAAAATAATCAATTTGACTAATTTTTTTTAAATTAAATCAGATTTAAATTCACGAAAAACAAACTTTGAAAAAAAAATTGACAAAAGCGGTAAATATGTATCTAAAGGTAATCATTTTATTGTTAACTTAGCAAATTGTTAAGCAATAAATATTGAAAAGTTTTCATTTTCTGCTATGAAATCTTTACAAGCATTTTTCATTTTGTACATAATGGTTGATTAACTTACAGTATACTGAATAAAATATACTCAACAACAAAGTTATCATTAACATTCAACAAAAACGTATCATAACTGTAAAGGCTATATTTCATTAGTAATGATATAATATGCATACGGTATTCTACTGTATTTTTTTACCAATAATTCATTTCCATTGTATTATAAGAATTTTGAATAAAATTAATCGAAATTTGGAAGAAAGATGTGGTATTTTTAAAATGTAAAAACAAAAGTAAAAAATGGAAGAAATAATAAACTGAAAAAAAAAGACTCAAAATATGAAATAATACTGAATAAACAGTCATTTATAACATGCAAATGTGTGCAAATTATGATCATTTTTTTCCTATAAAAATATTTTTGATTGAAATTGAAAAATGCATTAATCATAAACTACTCGTTCACTTGGCTGTTTACTTATTTAATTCATTGCAAAGCTTTAGACTTGAATTCATTTACTTATTTCCGTAGTAATATATTTGCTTGATTTTTAAAATGCCCAATAAGTAATTTTAATAATGGATTAAATAAAAATGACTTATTTTCCTACATGATCTATAAATTGCCACTAACAATAATTAACTTATTACTAATTATTTCATATTTCTCAATACATGATCACTTTTGATCGATCATCAATAAGCAGACGCTTTGACCCAAGATCACGTTTGTCCGTGACATTTTTGCTTCTTAAAATTTAACACTGCCGAATTTCACAGCTGATCTTTGAATGCTTTATAAAATGATTGAACATAGGTGAAAATACATTTCCAGTCAGGTCGATCACCCATCAACAACATATCATCCACTTCAAGCAATGGTACAATACCATTTTGTCTGCAAATTTTGCAATTTATTTCTCGAATTTCTCTATCATACAAACCTTGAATTTCAAAATATTTGTTAAATTTTTCAAAGATAGACTTTCATAAAATTAAAAAATTTTAAAAAGCAATCTGAAATATTGCATGGAAAAGTTTTTTTTTTTAAATTTGTATTTGATTGACTTTTGCTGCAATTTGTTCACATTAATTAAGCTTTACACCAAATTAAAACGAATTGAAATCAGATAAAGACTGAACTGCAAACTTAAAGCTAAATAAATAGCTCTTTGGAGAAAAAAAAAAGACTTACTCGGCCACTCTAAATGCCAATTCTAAATTTTCGCGTCGATTTCTTGGATTTAGCTTATTAAAATCAAATGAATCAGGAACAAATCGATGTATCAATGCGCAAAATGCCATACCATCAGCCCAACATGATGAAAAATTTGTAATTTGAACCTTCAAAGTTATTTTATTATAAAATTATTTTTTATTATAAAACAAAAACTATTTTATTATAAAATAAAAACTGGAATGATAATTCCAGTTAATTAATCAGCTGGTTAAAATTCATTTGCTATTAAAAGATGATGAAATTCAAATATTATTATCTGTTACAACTATTGTTAAATGGATATTTTGTGCAGTTGTTTGCTAAAATAATTGAATGAAATTATTGAAATCTTTTAAATATTCCTTTGTGAAAGTGTATATTAGTCACTGCAAAAAGTTTTTCCAAATTTTTAAATTTGAATTGCGTAAAATTTTCTGAGATACTTACAGGATAATTTGCCAACTTAATTTGGCACCATCGCAAAAGCGCATTTTTTACGGTTGACGGATTGAATGGTCGCGTAGCTTGCACTTGACTGAAAAAAATTTTCCTTTTTCTTAAAAATTTTCAAAATTCAACTTTTTAAATTTGTTTGAGCAATTGATCGACTTGAATGCATGATTAAATTATAATTAAAATCATCATAATTAAAATCATTATCATGATTAATAATCATTATTACGCAGTATTGCAAAGAAATCAAAATAAATGCTAAAAAAGGATTGATAAGGCAGTTGGGTTTCATTTGGATTTTGATGATAATGATAACATATCAGCAGGAATGGTATGGAATAATAGATAATGGATAAATATGTTTTGATATTTTTGTGCTTCTACTCGAAATGAGAAAGAAAATGTTTTATAATAGAAGCTTTCAGCAAATTTATTTCATGACCGTAGATTGATTAAACTTATCAATTAAATATTTTGATATAAAGGGTATTCAATCTAACATCGTTATCACTACTATCATCGTTATCGTCATCAATATTAGCAATGTAACAGCTAATAAAAAAGTTTTCATCAGTTCATATTTAATTTCAGTTTTTTGAAAAAATTTTAGAAAAAAATTATGCAAAATGGTTATTGTTCAAATATTTGTTTAAATAAATTAAAATTTGTTACTAGAAAAAGCTTTGCTATTGATGTACAATAATTGAGCAATTAATTTCAAAAAAAACTCCATGAAAACTTGTAGTATAACACAATAGCATTCTATTATCAGTTAATCCTAAAATCCATTCAGATTGCGATGAATTTAATTAAATGAATTAAGCTGAAATTTTATTAACAATTAAATTACTATCCCAATTAAAAATATGCAATTATTTGTTTCTGAAAAATTTCGGAATAAGTGAAAAATGGGAAAATTTTGAAAATACAAACCTCGATCGATGCATTTGATCCATTTGTTTGAAGACATTAACCTTTGACATTTTATCGTTATCTGTAGTAAAATAAAAATTACAAGAAGAAAAAGAAAGGAAAAAAAGGAAGAAAATTTATGCAAACAATAATTTAATTTTAACGGATCATTTGATGGAAATTAAATAAGTAGAAATTATTCTTAAATTATTCATTGTCACCTAATTTCAATCTCAGCCTTATTTTTACTCATAGAGAAGAAGAGAGGAAGGGAAAAAGAGAAGGATAGAAAGAAATGATCGTACTTAAACAGTTGTTTCACTGTGAAATTTTCGATGAGAACTTCCGTTCTGAGAAGTTTTTTTCTTATTATTTCGTTAAGTCAAATATATTATTTTATAGCTGACGATTAACTTTAATTTAAACGAAATATTTGAAAAGCAACAAAGTTGGCCTGTACACCTTATCATGATATGATTAGAAGCATTAAAATATAGAATGAAATATTCATGATGATTGTAAATTTGGATCATACTCTATCTATCACATGAAATGGAATAATCTTTGCAAAATTTCTAGAATAACTAAATGATGATCGATTTAAAAATATCATGAGACTAGCAAATGAGTTTGGGACATCGATTATCTTGGCCTTCTGTTAATTTAAGCTTTATATTCATATTCACATATTGACCGAATGTTTACGCTATTTATTTGTTTCTATTAAATAATTTTTCTCTAAACTGTAACAATTATAGCCAATTTTCATTTTGATATAAGCATAAAACTCTAAATCACATTTTATGTATCACATGATGTGAGTTGATAACTACAAAAGAGTAATATGATAATGAATGTTTCAATAAATAAGAACAATAGATTGAAAACATTGTTTGGATAAATAAAACTTGTCAAAAATATATTATATTTATGAAAAGGCATTGTGAAACACGCAAAATGATAAACGTCACATGAATCAATGAGTAATTTTATTAAATAACGTTAACAACGTCAAATTTAAAATCCAAAAATAATATCTGAAAAATATCAATCTTCTATCGCCTTTATTATTTATAATTATTATTGCTATTATTATTATTATTATTATTATTATTATTATTATTATTATTATTATTATTATTATTATTATTATTATTATTATTATTATATTATTATTATTATT